TTCTAATTTCCTCCCAGTGACTTTTCTCCCTTTGCCACAGCTGGTCTCATGCTCCTGAAACTTCCCGGCCAGTCGTTTTTCATAGTAGCTCTGTAGAGGTCTGTACCTGGCTTGAAATCCCATCTGCGTGGCGGGTAGAAAGTCCCCTCCAAACCAGTGAGGCCTAGACTGGCTTCCTGACTCAAGTAAGCTCTATTTGACTTTCCTCGCTGTTTCTCAAATGTTTGCATTGTTCCTCAGTATTTCAAACTGAGCACTTAGTTACTGTTTCTCTTGTTATATTTTGCTAAGCATGTCATTGTTTTTAAGTTTGACTGCCATTGAGAGGTAGAGGGATGTTAGGTAATTTTAAGGTTTCTGCACTTTTTTCTTCAATGCGATGGATTGACACAGCGGCTACCAGAGGCTCGACTCTCACGAGGAGGACTGTAAGAACGGCACGGGCCAGCAGGGCTGTGTGGTGTTGTCTAGAGGGTTGCTGTGAGTTGGTGCCCATTCAGCAGCACCTAACCGCAGACTTGTAAATTGTTGTTGTTGCGTATCTCCATTCTAGCAGCATACCCCACATTGTATGCTTACTATAAACCTACAGCTTCAAAAAGATAATAAAGGGGTTTGCACAGATTCCTTCCTTTGAGAAACCTACACCTGGTGTAGATGCTTGTGGAGCGAAAGCATAGACCTAATATACCGTATGTACTCGTGTATAAGCCAAGTGTGTCAGCACATTAAAAAAAAATAATTTTATTGGGGGCTTGTACAGCTTATCACAATCCATACATCAATTGAATCAGGCATGCTTGTACATATGTTGCCTTCATTCTTTTCTAGACATTTACTTTCTATTGAGCCCTTGGTATCAATTCTTCCCCCCCATCCCATAACCCCCTGATTGATTGTGCATTGTTATTATTTTCATCTCTCACACCGATTGCTGTCTACTTTCCCCCATGTTTTCTGTTGTTCTTCCCCCTGGAGAGGGGTATATGGTTATGTGTCGATCATTGCCATCAGTTCCCCCCTTTCTTCCTTCTTCTCCGAACCCTCTTCCCCTACCTTTTCTGGTATCACTATTTCTACTCCTGTTCTTAGATTCTGTGTGTTGTGAGCTCCCATCCCTTTCTGTACCTGTGTACATGATCTGGTCTAGTCTGAATTGAGAAGCAGCACTGGGGTCTTGGTAGTGGGGGGGGTGAAGAAGTCTCAAGGAACCAGAGGAATATAGTGTGTTTCATCAATACTTTTATGCACCCTGGTGACTCAACCCTTCCCTGTGGCCCCTCTGTGAGGAGATTGTTCCACTGTCTACAGGTGGGCTTTGGATCTCTGCTCCAGCCCCCCTCCAACCCCCCTCGTTCTCAACAATGTGTGCTCAGCACATTTTGAATGCAGTTTTTGTGGTAAAATTAGGTGCCTCGGCTAATATTCAGGTCGGCTTATACTTGATTATATACGGTAAATGCAGTACCAGAAAGTTTTGTTTTGACCACCCTTTGGGTCTGGAACTGAATTGAACCCTGTGGCTCAATTTTAAGCCAAACAATGGTCAGGTCAACAAGGGAACAATACCATTGCTGGCATGTGTAAATGATAGAATAATTGTCCATTTGGATGGACAGAATAGCATTTACCTAAGGTCAAAGTGCAGGAGGATTAGGAAAGGAGGAGAAATGGAGACCAGACACCCAGGGAAGAGAGGAGGTGGGTGATGCCACATTGAGGGGATTGCAGTGAATGAGATGAAATGTGTGAGTCATCGATTTTAAATTGATGATCTACTCTATGAACCTTCACCCAAGGCCCAGGAATATACTTTTTAGAAAGGGTTTTTAAAAGAATAACAGGGGAAATGAGACAAAGTAGACCTTGACTGATGAGGTGGGTACAGCTTGGAGTGGAGCCTTACCAAGACAAGGAATTTAGATCATATTTGTAGATTAAAGAAAACCGTTAGCAAATTTTGAGTGGGAAATAAATTTTTTCTTTTTAACATTTTATTAGGGGCTCATACA